ATGTTAACATGAGTGATGCTCATGAATGTTGACATGAATGATGGTCATGAATGTTTATGTATGATTGTCATGAGTGATGCTCATGAATGTTTATGTATGAATGACATGAGTAATGCTCATGTATAAGTTTACTCGAGAAAATGGACTAAACCCAATAATAACTTACAAAATTGAACTTATGTCAAGTTTACTTGAGAAAAGAACAAAAGGAAAATGAGGACAAGGAAAAAAAAACGTCAAGCCTTGCCAAATTATACTCCTCATGCTTTATAGCCAATTCACATAACTACCATTCCCTGGAGAAATATTATTTTTGTATGACCACTCACTAACTACTGTTGCATTACCACGTGATATTATCAATTAACTTATACTATAATACGTAAATTTATTATTGCTGAATCTGAAGTGCATATGTTCATGACATATCAATTTTATCGTTTACTATTTATGATAACCTAATTTAATTAGTAACACCGTGCGACTATAGATTAACAACACCCTTCTTAATATAATTGGACCTTTAGAGCAAGTCCACTGGGACCAAATAGGCCGGCTCACAGCAGCCAAAATGGCCCGGCACCCAACCAATTTGCTCCAGCCCAGCCTACTGTCCTATAGGGCGGCCCAGAATGTGCTGAGCCAAGGCTCGGCCTATGTGATGTCATGCTGACACTAACGTGACATCACATACCATTTAAATTTTTTTTTGCGCCAGGCACGTGGGAAACACATCGCTCATGGTCGCAAGTGGTCGACAGCGTCATAGAGGTGCAGCCCACTGTGCAAGCGCAATATGGGGGTTCCGACGTGGAGACACGTGGCTCCTCCCTGTCCGTTGGATTTCCAATGGTAAAAAAAATTTGAAATTTAAAATTAATGGCTACTGGCGTGGCACAATGAGGACAGTTCGATTTTCAGATCAACGGTCCAAATTTTTCTGCCACAAAAACTTTAAAATAAAATAAAATGTCAGGATTAATAATATTTTTTATAAAGTCATAAATTAAAAATTAAAAATTAAAATATTTTAATAAAATTGACTAGGCTATTTTTTTTTAGGGTAGAGATGCATTTGGCTTATTACTGTTCATTGAAGTCTATCACTGTTCACTGAGTGAATTAAATAGGCTGGATGCTAGTATATTTTTTTAAAGTTGAACTTGCTCTTAGTTTGCCAGACTCATTTTTTCATCTTCTTTGTAATTTTGAATATTTTTGAATTCTCATTACTTGAATTATGAATGAGAAAATTGTAATATTTTCAGATTTTACTTTTCTGCTGAAAAGAAGGGGCTGGCGTTTGTCAGAAAGTTGTGGAAGGTCCTCGATAAGGTTGATGAGTCCTGATTGTAAAGGAGAAGACTCAGAGAAGTACTGCATGTCCTCCTAGTCCCTTATTTGCAGGGATTTCGGTACCATACATTTGCAGTCAATGTTGCAATAAAAAAAAAAATGTATATATATATATATATATATTATATATAGAATGGATTTACCATCTGTTTCGATCGATTAGTTTATTAACGTGCAAAAAAATTTACACGCGGCAAATTCATTCCATGTAAATTCATTCTCACTAAAATAAGGTACATTAACATTGTTGTGTTGTGTTGTGACGTCTCTTATATTAATGAGAAAATGCTAATTTGAAATGAAAAAAAATTATACTTACATGTTATGTATATTTCTAGAAGATGTAAATTGGAATTTGCTCTAATGAGAAAGATGTAAATTTGGAAGAAGAAAAAAAGTTGACCCAAGCTAACAACGCTCTTTCACTTTAAAATGTAAAATACACATTTGAAAACATTTTACATCTCTTGTTAAAAATGCTCTTAAGATTGGCAATACTTATTTTTTTTTCTTTTTCATATCATGACAAAACATTTCATCAAAGTCACGCAATGTGACATCAATCACAATTTATAAAAAAATGGGTTTTAAACTTGTAATTTATGTGAGTGAGGATTCTCATTTACAAATGAAAATAGTACAACTAGAACTTCTATGTAGTCCAGTATCCTTGTGAATAAGGTGTTGAGTTTAAACCTATGCATCTCGGGTTCGAAATTTTTCCTTATTTTAAATTATTGTGATAATTTCGAACCCGCCTCTTCTTTTAAGAATATATCTTAAAAAAAAAAAATATAGCTAGAACGGAATACTTCTTCTCCTAAATTTGAACAAAGGTATTATTCTTTTACGCATATTTATAAACTGATATCAAAATCGGCATCTACGAGATTTAGACTTAATTAAAACTCTAATTTACGAGTGAAGAAAAATAACTATAGATCGCAATGCTAAATAAGTATAAAAATCGAACTTAAAATCCTATATGTATAAGTGATAAATACTATGAGAATGTAATACCAAGTTGCTTCACTTAAATTCACTTACCCAGATGAAACTCTATTTTGATTGTGATGCAAACAAGACTCATTATACCAAGTGTTTTAATGTTACTGGTTGAAATTTTTATTTAAATTTTTAATCAATTATATTATTACACTTGATGTACCAAGTACATTAAAAAAATCACTCCTAATTCCGAGTGTACCATGCAAACACCAATGTGTCATCTCTTACAAGTAATTATCATAAGCCCCATGTGCCCGTATGGTAATTGCAGGACAAAAAAGGATAGTTTTGTTTCAAGTGCCAGGGGATTCAGGGACAGCATACCATTACCGGGTAAGTCCTAGAAGACCCAATAAAAGAATGGCAATAATCCTGACAAACCCATTATCAGGATCTGTCAGGATTATCGCTATTTCATGTAATAGGTTTATTATTATTATAATGTTTGATTAAAAAATATGTCATGCGTATGTTTTTTTTTCTCTTCATGTAACATGATATTAGGGGATTAAGATGTGAGAATCATTAACCATTAGAGTCTTGGTCACACGTATAACTTCTCTATTGCACTAATGCATCTCATAAACAAGCTCCAATATTTTTCTTCAGATAAAATATATTTGTTTAGTCGTGTTTAACATGATAATGTGAAAACGAAATGATTCTCAACAAGCTTCAATATTTTTTATATTACAGATTTAGTTTTCAATGTCTTAGCTGAAAATGTAAACGTTTCAATCCGTATTTAATAATTTTGTTTAGAAAGGCAAATTAATCTAACTTTTTTGTTAATTCAACAATAGTAAAATAGCTTAAAACGTTAAACATAACAAAAAAAAAATATCATATGTGAATTAGCAGAGTCTACCAAAGTGCCATTATATTTCACTAAATAGATGCTTCAATAAATTAAAATGATTTATGTTGTGGCAAAATTTCGCCATCTTCGGATTTGACAAAACTATCCCTACAAAACAAGAAGACATCTTAGGTTAACGACCAAAGCTATACAGGAGAAGTTGGCCAATGAACCTCCGATGATTAAAGTCAGAAATACTTTAGAAAGAATGAGCGATTTAGGGTTGGATTGCGTATAGTTAACTAACAAGAGAATGAACGGGTGATGGGGAAGCTATAGGAGCTAGGGTTGGCCATATGTGTAGGGATCTCACGCTATGTGTTAGCGTCCGATTGGCCAAAGTGTGTTATCCGTTAGATGCAACATGCAAGTATCTTTAAGATCGAAATTTCTTAAAAATGTTTAAGAATAATCCTCAGAGATATTATTAAATAAATAATAATATTTAAGATTTATTTTTGAAGAGTTCTTAATTGGATTTGATTGCGCTTCTATGAATAAAGGAATATGCCTTCAATTTGGACAATGTAAACGTATGAATTGGTTATTAATTTTACCTTAGTTCATTTGTCTTATCTCACTGTCCTGAATGGTGAATAAACGTTTGTGTGTTGGATTTATAATTTTCTGAATTATTTATGGCTCCACAATTTAAAAAAAAAATGTTATTAACACTTTTAAAAATTTCATTGTACATTCTTCATAAACTAATTTTTTTTAAATGTAAAAAATTTGAAGTAATAAGAATTTCGAAGTGAAAAAAATAATTTCCTTTACAAACAGGGAAACATGGCAATAAAGCATTAAAAACAGCCAGCAGCACAACAATCTATTTTTTTGGAACAACAATCCATGATTAGGGCTAGAAAGGGGAGAGAAATTAAAGAGATGTGACCGAGAAGGCAGAAGAAGAGGAAGAGAAAGGGTTTTTGCTCAGAAGAGGAAAAGGCTGGTGGGCAGCTGTCAGGAGTTTATTGGGTTAAAATACTTAATTGGAGTGCTGACCTGGTATTCCCGGCACATGAAAGATTTTCACACCCAAATTTGACCTCAATTGTCTAACTCTCTCCAAGACGGTAAGAAAAAAAGGAAGACCAAAAATTGACGAAATTGGTGCTCTGAAACTCTGTGGCTTTGCATGCTCTGAAACACTCCTCCCTTGGCGCCCTTTTAGCCTTCCCCGATTTTACCACGACTCTCTCGTTCCGTCATCCTTCGTCCTTTCCCTCTGCAGATTTCCTCCATTGTTGCAGGCAAGTCTCAACGTCTCTCTTTCTCTCTCCCTTCCTCTCTCTTTTGCTATATTCTGGGTGTTTATATTGTACATGTGCAGTTTTTTTTTATTTTTGTGTGCGCGCGTCTGTGTTCGAGGTAAAGGAGCTGACTTTTGTGATGAGTTCAAATTTTGGGGGAAAAAGTTTGGATCTTTGTGGTTATAATGTTGGGCTCTGTTTTCTGTTTTTGTATATTTTTTGTGTTTGTGTGTGTGCGATTTGATATTAAAGAGCCGAATTTCTGTAAATCTTGCGTCTTTGGTGAAAAAGTTTGGATCTTTGGGGCTAATAACTTAAAGCTTGCTTCTTTTTTATTCACTCAAAATCTTTCCTTTTCTGTTTCTGTGTGTGTACACACACACACACACACACACATATATATATATATATATATATATGTGCATGTGTTGTAAGATTGTTGTGTGTGCGCGTGTTTCTGGGTTTTGGGGAAAGAAAAAGCTGATTATTTGGGGGAATTTTCATGTTTTAGGCAGAAAAAGGTGGAAACTTTGGACTTGTTAGGATGGACTACAGCTTGCCAGTAGCAAAGAGAACCAGGCGGGGCCAAGAGTTGTACTGGAAGGAGTTTTATGAGAACTGGAAGAAGAATCGTAGGGGTGACAAGGTCAGTGTGAGTCACCCCGAAAGATATGTGAAAGAAAAGAATGCCCAGAGACAAAAATCCATTCATGGCTCCAAGAAATCGTCGCCTGGAAGTTCAGTGGAGTACACGTATGTACATGATTCTGATGAAAGTGAGGAGGAGGCTAGAGCCTATGCATCACTGGATGTTTCTGATGAGGCTGAGGAGGCCAATGCAAAGCCACCCACAAGAAGTAAACACAATAAAAGGCTTGGGAAGCGAAATTCCAGCAACGGGTCTAAGAAGTGCAGGTCCGGTTGTTCTATAAAATCCGAGTCTATAGAGGTTTCTGATCATGGTGAGAAGACCACTGCAGGTCCTTCCACAGGAGCTAAAACATGCCAAAAAATGCTTGGGAAACAAAAATCCAGTAGCGGGTCTAAGATATGGAGGTCCAGATGTTCATTGAACTTTGAGTCCATAGATGATTCTGACGATGGTGAGGAGGCCGCTGCAGCTCCCTCTAGAGGAGCTAAACGCGAAAAAAAGGTTGGGAAACGAAAATCCTGTGAAGGGTCTACGAAATGGAGGTCAAATTGTTCAATGGACTCTGAGTCCATAAATGATTCTGATGATGGTGAGGGGGCCACTGCAGGTCCCTCTAGAGGAGCTAAACGCGAAAAAAAGGTTGGGAAACGAAAATCCTCTGGAGGGTCTAGGAAACGGAGGTCTGGTTGTTCAATGGATTTTGAGTCTATAGATGTGTCTGATGGTGGTGAAGTTCCCAGTGTTGAAATCATTGGTGAAGATTCATGTGGAGAAAATGATAATGATGGAATGGATTCTATTGATATACAGAGTGCAGGATCAAAGAATGGAAAAACATCTGAATGTGGTCCACTTGATTTGGAGGATAGTGATTCTGATGTGGTGTATTTAGGTGAAGAAGGAGTTGGAGAAGGAGGAGGAGGAGGAGGAGATTTTGTTTCTGATAGCTCATATGAAACAGATACCCTCCTGTCTAGTGAAGAGGAAAGCGCTCATTCGGATGATGAGGATTATGACCCAGAAGAGTCAGAAAGTTCTGAGTTTTCTAAGGAGTCGAGTTCTTCTGGCGGAGACAGCCAACAGAGCGATGAAAGTGATGGTGAGGTGAATATCCAAAGAACTGATAAAAGGGATGCTAAGGTGAAGAAACTGGAGAATGTAAATGAAAGGGAGCGAAAAAAGGGAAGCAGGAAAGCCAGAAAGCGGGAAAGTGTAGAGGATAATGTTGAGGTGATAAAGGTGCACAATATTGATGGAAGGGAGGTTAAAAAGGGAAGTCACAAAGAGGGAAAGGGAAAAAGTGTTAAGGGTGGTGTTGAGGTGAAGAAGTGGCAGCATGTTGGGAAACAGGAGAATAAAGGGCATATGGAGAAGCTTACGAACAGACAGTCCATGTGGGAAACCAAACACTGCAATGTTTTAAATGTTCTTGTGGATTCCATCTATGAGAAGGAAGAAGTGCTACAGGAAGGGTCAGATACACTTGGGAATGAAGCTTTGAAAGATGAAAGAAATCCACCAGTAGCTCAAGTTACCACTCTTCCACTGAAGTTTACTTTTGGATCTACATCTACGCAGCCAAGTGTACCAAAGAAGCAAGAAATGGATCCAGAAGAAAAAGAACTTTGGGATTACCTTGACTTTGATCTCAAATCTTGTGAAATTGGTTCCACTGAATCACATGAGGTAGTTGGCATAAACGCATTGTTCCCATTCTGATAGTCGATAGTGTTGTATAGCCTAGTAGTGTGCATTTCACTTTAAGCGTTTAACATCATTATTAGTTGTTAAATTTGTTCAATGATCTGGTCAGTTTCTTCTACATGCATAGCTGAGTCATTATTTGTTTAGTTTTGATTGTAAGTGAATGTTTTTGATTGGCAGGTTGAGAATCAAGATCCACTCCCCACTGTTTGTGAAGAGAATGCAGCTGCCCTTTGTAAGCGAGGGATTCATCAGCTTATGCTTGATGAAGAGATTGGAAGCAGATGCAGATTTTGCTCTTACTTAGATCAGGAGATCAAGTATATTGTACCAGAATTTGTAAGTTTATGCATGTTCCTTTTAGTTAAGTCCTTTTTTTTTTTTTCATTTCCTGTAAAACTTAGATTATAGTTAATTCTTATGGTAATGCTGAATATAGAGCAACATGTATTGTTTGCAAAATTCTTTAGTTTGCATCCTTTGTTGGCAATTTTATTCATATATGTATTGAGAATAGAGCAAGGGATTGCTTACTTAGGCGGGATTTTATTTATCTTTTGGTTGGAGGGATTTGGAATGAAACTATGCTGTGTTTTCATAACCGGAAAAACTACACTTGTTATCTGTTCCTTCTCCTGTAACTTGAGTTGGCTCTTAGAGCAAACTGACAATTCAAGTTGTTGATCCAATTGTTGTCCTTTTTTTGTTATTTGTTATCATTAGATTTTTGTTGTTTTTTAGTTTGCTTGGGTACTCAAAGCTTCTGGTCTTTAACTTGACAGTGCTTTATGTATTGGTATACCTAACCTGAAATTTTTTTCTTTCTTTAGAACTAGGATTATTATTGATCTCATTGCTGATGCATTCATACTTCTAGAAGCTGCAACTTGTTGGTTTTAGTCTTTCAAAATTTCAAGTTAGTTAAAAAAATATTATTGGAATGTTTCTGGCCAATCCGATATGTTTTTAAAGAATTTGTTGACTCTAATCAAGGATACGCTTTGAATGATTTAACATGTAGGGTTTAATCTTCAGTTCGTGATTATTTTCCTTGTCTGCTTTCTCATACTGCATGCTTATCAACGTAGTTATCATGATTTGGCATTTCAGATATGTGATTGTTCCCTTGGTTATGCGCATTCCAGGTTAAGTACCCTTGCGAAAGATTTGGTGCAAGAGTCTATGAACCAGACAACCCATCTATCTTTGATGAGCTTCAATCTCTTGACTATGGTTCCGATCCCCATTCTGGCTGCAGTTCTCACGTTCATGCTGAAGGCACAGTGTGGGACTTCATTCCAGGTGTTCAAAGCAGTATGTATTCTCATCAGCGTGAAGGCTTTGAATTCATCTGGAATCATATAGCTGGTGGAATACATGTTGAGGAGCTGAAAAGAAGAAGCAGTGATTATTCTGGGAATGGATGCATAATTTCACACGCTCCTGGAACTGGAAAGACACGGCTAACCATTGTCTTTCTCCAGACATACCTGAAGTTGTTTCCAAAGTGCAGGCCACTTTTGATAGCTCCTCGCAGCATGCTGCTAACTTGGGAAGAGGAGTTCAAAAAATGGGAGTTTGACATTCCTTTTCACAATCTAAACAACACGGAGTTATCTGGTGAAGAAAACGAAGCAGCTGTTGATTTGATGATGAAAATTGATGGCCCGAAAAGCATAAACAGAGTAAACAACAGCAGAATGTTGAAGCTGTATTCCTGGGCCAAGGAAAGAAGCATCCTGGGAATCAGTTATCAATTGTTTGAGAAGCTTTCTGGGGCAGATCATTCTGGAGCCGAGAAAAAAGGCCTAGCTGAGGTAATGAGGGATATCCTTGTTGAGTTTCCTGGTCTTGTAGTATTTGATGAAGGCCACACTCCTCGGAATAACAAAAGTCATATTTGGAAGGCTTTATCAGAAATCAAAACTAAAAAGCGGATTCTTCTGTCCGGAACTCCTTTCCAGAATAATTTTCAGGAGCTCTTTAATACAATCTGCGTGGTGAGGCCTATGTTTGCAGCCTCAATCGACTCTGCTAAATTCACTGGAGATTTTCTCAGATCCCGAGCCCGAAAAGGCAACGTAGAGAAGTGGCAGTGGACTTCTGTGGCCAATTGTAGTGAAAAAGTTGCTGCTGAAAAAGAACAACATGCTACAGAGGTCAAAGAAAAGATTGCCCCGTTCGTCAATGTCTACAAGGGTTCTGTACTGCAAGATAGTCTTCCTGGGTTAAGGAACTCCGTTGTTGTTTTACACCCGATGCAGCTACAGAAAAAGTTTCATCAGAGAATTCAAGGTGTAAAGGAACAATTTCAATATGAACACTTGGAAGCTATAAATTCCATTCATCCTTCCCTCTTGCTTCACGAAGATGCATTTTCTGGTGATTGGGATAGGTTAAAAGAACTGAAATTGAATCCTGATGCTGGAGTGAAGACAAAATTTTTGATGGAACTCATTCGTCTCAGTGATGCTTTGAATGAGAGGGTTCTTGTTTTCTGTCAGTATATTAGTCCATTAACTCTTGCAAGGGATCTTCTGAGATCTCAGTTTCACTGGAGTGAAGGGGAAGAAGTGCTCTACATGGATGGAAAATGTGATATGAAGCAGCGTCAGTCTTCGATGAAAATTTTCAATGACCCATCCAGTAAAGCAAAGGTTTTACTAGCTTCAACTAAAGGATGCTGCGAAGGCATAAGCCTAGTCGGAGCTTCAAGGGTTGTGTTGCTCGATGTCACTTGGAATCCATCGGTGGAGAGGCAAGCAATATCCCGTGCCTACAGGCTGGGGCAGAAAAAAATTGTCTATGTGTACCACCTCCTCATGGATGGAACGAATGAAGAGCACAAATACCGGCGGCAAGTGGACAAGAGCCGTTTGTCTGAGCTGGTATTTTCTGATTCAGACAGGAATGATTCTCTCGAGAAGAAAATCAGAGCCGTTTCTGAAGATAAGATTTTGGAGGAGATGGCTCAACATGAGAAACTGAAACACATATTCGAGAGCATAGCTTTGCTGCATGAAGACATATATTTTGAGCAGCTAGGCCTCTCAACTTTTGGTTAAACCATAGCGGCTGTTTCCCACTTAAGTTTATACAGGGATTTTGTGTGAACTTGATTTTATTCAATATCTGATCTAGGTGTAAAGAAAAAAAGCATAGATGATGATGCACTTGAATTCTCTCTTAGTGAGAATTAGCAAAACTTTGTGACAATGTTTTGGAAATTGAGAATGTATGTGATGCAGATTGCAGAAACTAGTTGTTGATTCCTGACAGACAATATAAAGTTTTTTGGCATATATGTCATGAAGATATCATAGGATATTTCTTCTTGAATAACTTTTGTTTTTGGTCAGAGCTTTTTGTTGCATATGTGAAACTCAAGTTCTTGAATCCTAACTCTAATTGTTGTTTGGTATAATTTTTTTCTGTTGCCAACTAGAAGGACATAGAAGCTGTCCTGGGAAATATGGTAAGTTCCATTTAGTGACCTCTCAATGCTTTTATTCTTATGCACCATGTTCTCTATTAGCTATGAAATTTAGTCGTTTTTATATTTATTTTAATTGCTTGTCTAATGGCCATGTAATATCAGTGTGAAATTTATTGGCTTTAGTAGTTTTTACTTGGTTGATACGCTTGCAATGTTACAGTTATATGCCAAAAAAAGAGTTTTCATTGTGGTAATAAAGAAGGCTAGTTGTCTTGCAGCCTGTAGGTATAATTTAAAAGCGAATTCTTTCTTAGGAGTTTTATCTGATTTGCAAATTTCTATGGTATCAGAATTAAGGCATCCCAGTTGATTTTTCCTTGCTCTGTATTCCATTGTTATTTTGGTTGAAAATTATGCACATCATTCGGATTTATTCTTTGAGTAAATATATTTTTGATTTTTGAAGTTTTGATCTGCTTTTACATGGAAGTGTTTATGATTCTGTTTTCTGCCTCTTAGTTTAAAAACCCACTGCGGTGCTAGTCTGCGTAAGTGGATGGACGTTAGTCAGCAGTCTTGGCAAATATTTCTGTGAATTCTGTGGCAAAGGTAGTGCAGTTGTATTTTATCAACAACTTTGTTCTCTCTTGTGTAAAGAAAAATGAATAAAACTTTCATTTCTTTGTAGTATGCTGTGAAGAGAAAGGCTGTTGGAATTTGGGAATGTGAGGCTGAGGGAGCAAACTGAGAGTTAGGCATTTGTTGCTCTCCTCTGTTACTTTTCGTGCTGTTGCAGCTATTCGAAAATCAAAATTGGACAATGGGAGTCAGCTAAGATTTTGAAGGTTTTCGTTTTCCTGCAATCCTTTGAAAGTCTCAGCCGTCAGATCGATTAACTCCTTGGTGTGTTCTTCCTGAATAATGCCCAATTCTCGGATTCCATATTTATATATAAAGCGAGGTACATTTTTGATGCTATCTTGTTTCCAGTTAATGGGTTTCATCTCTCTGTTACTTTTGTTTTGATCAATTTTCTTAGCTTTCTTTTGCCATTGTATGCTTGAAATTCTTTTTGTCTGTATGGAACTTCTGGAAATCATTTATATTCATCACCGACTTCATATATGCAGTTTTTCTCACATATATGCAGTAGAATTAAATGTAAAAGACAACCATTTGCTTCTTTTTCATACAAATCTTTGTTTTAACTTTGGATTCCAAAATTTTGATTGTATAGGGAGAGAAACATGAATTTTATCACCTTCATGCTAGCTTTTCTATCTAATATCTCCGCGTTCTTTGTATGCTCGGTGCAAGTTACAGACTAGCCTTGCTAGCAAAGTAACCGGTACTGATAAAGTATTTGACATCATGCTGTTACTTGGTTTGTCATGACTCTTGTTTATATTCTATATATGTGTTCATATAGGTGGATGTCACGAACACGGTCTAAGTCTGGTGGTTGGGCTGCCTTTGACCTCAAGCAGCACCAGAAACAAGGGCCTTGAGCCTCAAGTTAACAAGGATCGTTTCCCACCCATACCGACCACTCTAACCTCTCTGCGTCCTTGCGAAAAATTACCGAGGAATAATGACCCTCCCGGCGGCCCTTTTTCAACAAGGCTCCCATCCGTAGATTGTCCAATTCCTGGGAAGGCCTCTCTAACTTCTAAGTTATGGATTTCTTTTTCATGCTCTTCCTTGAGGTTAAGATTAGCTTTCTTAAGTCTCGCTTCTCTGGGGGGAAATCAAGTGTCAACAGTAGATACAAGTCGTCGAATGTCGGCATTTGCGTCGAAAATTGATCAAAGAGTTGGAATTCCTGAAAAAGTTCTGCAAAACCCCATGAAGCCACCTTTCCCCGGTTCTTCTCTTCTAGTTCTAGGCTCATCCCCATCTTCCATTTTTTTCTCTAAATGTTTTAATTTATATTTTTATTAGAATGAATATATAGAATAGAACTACATTGGTTTTGCACGGATACTAACTTGGACTTTGATTTGTAATTGTACGCATTAATTATACTTATTTTTAAGGGAACTTTAACGAAAAGCACCTGGTACTGTTCATTTAACGAAAAACCACATTTTTACACTAAAAAGTCAATCATGGTACTATTCACTTTACCCTTTATTTTGTCCTTATCATTAAAACTCAAAGTTTTCAAGCCATTTTCATTAGTTTTTCTTATTTTTAAAGTTTATCGTATCTTCACAAAACTCTCATATATTTATAACATTATACTAAACTTTTAATTCACTCCGCATAATTCCGGCTGTGATCACCTTAAAATATTTTCTTAAGCCCAAGTTTGCCCTCGTAATTATTGCTTTAAAATATGAAAAAAACCCTTTATAAAATAGAATAAATAGTTCCCAACAAATGAGGATACGACACATGACAAAACAACAGTCAGAACTCTGCTCCACAATCAGAGACAAATCCCTAAAAATAAGGGGCCTATACCTATAGGAGAAGTAGTTCTCTGCTCTACAATCAGAACTAACTAACAAGAAGTTCATCTCCGGATCCTTTTGGTAAGGATTCTGGGAATCCGTTTATCGTGTTCGTTCATCGTACATTGTACGGTCAGTTTTTATCAAGTACTGTTTATATTTATTTTTAAATAAAAATATTCAAAATAATTTCTGACCGCACGATGTACGATAAATGAACATGATTTATATATCCTCGGGATCATCACAAAGAGGATCCAGACTCAACTAACTAGCTTTTCTACACGTGCTTCCGCGCATGTGAAAGGTTTTTTTTTTTTTTTTTTTTTTACACGCGACTTAGATGTATTTATCTACGTAAATTATTTCACTAGATCACTCTTGCGCTTGGAACTTGTCATTTTTTTTTTCAACCAAGCACGTTGGTAGTATCCCACGGTTTTTTGTTTTATTTTTGTGTGTAGCTATCACTTTAGCGAAAAATTGTAACATTACATCTTTTTTAGCAATTAAATTTTAGATTAGCTTTCGTGTCTGCAATAATATTTTTTTTGTTTTATTCACACGATATGTACATCTAAAATTTTGGTAGTTTTGTGTGAAGAAAGTGAAATAAGAATCCTTTAAGATAGACATCGTTGTTTGTATATTGTTGTTCAAAAGAATCATTGAAAACAGTAATATAAAATAAGGGTCCTAATTAAAATAAGTAACAAAATTGCTTAGAAAGTTTAGAAATAACATTTGCACTTTGTATATTATTTAGAGATGCAAATTGTGCATTTTTTTTCATGAACGTATGTTGGAAGTTTTCACAAATTGGTCATGGAACTTTTTGCCATATAAGGCTATTGAATCTTTTCCAACTTACACGAATTCAAAATTATTTTTCACCACCCCTCTAAGACCATCTCTAACTCCGTGGGATAAAGCTTAAAAATTTAAGCCAGAAAATTTTAAGCCATAACTATTGGAAATTATATATTATAATATGAAATATTGTAATATATAATTTTAATAATTGAATGAAAAATAATGTTAACCAATTTCTTAGAAAGGTTATGTTGTTTAGGTGTATTCTGTTGATAAGTGATGTATACTTATAGATGAAAAGTTACATCTCCTTAACAAGAAGTACTTGGGTTCTATATAAACTCATGAAACCATTATCATTAAGATATAGAAAATTAGAGTTTATTTTTACTCTTGAGAAATAGGGTTTCCCCACTTTGTTTCTCAAATGATTCGTGTGTCAAATTTCGAGTCGTATCTTGAGAGTATGGAATATATAAAGTTCGCCAGAGTCCGAAGATTGAAGTGCTTTGACTTCGGATTATAGATTGTTGAATCCTGGGAGATAGACGCCTATCGAACTACAAGCACAAGAGTAGGGGCGAAATTCTATCTTTAGGACATTGCATTTATGCAAGCCTCAATCTCCAAATTTGTCAGTTTTCTAACTTTATCTCTAGTTGTTTATATTAATTTCATATATAATTGATGTTGTGACTTTCTTTATGATTATTATCATTGGAATTATGTCGTTATTTTTCATATTTTCTAATATTGCTCCAACAATAACTCAGAAACTGCTTTTCTCCTCTAACCTTTATGGTTTAAAATTTTAGTCTTGTTGTAAGCCTATTTAACTGAGCTATTCTAAGGGAATAGAGAGAGGGAGGCCGGTGGTAGTGAGAGAGAGAAGAGAGAGATTTAATTGTGAGGTATGTGTTGTATCACCCTATTATGCCTTTATTTATAGTAGTAGGATAGGTTAAATCCTTACCCTTTTAGGATTACAACTCTAATAGGATATTAACTACTAAAGGGAATATTCAAAGATATCGCTAGATACACTAGGATTTACACAATCACATTCATATTCTAATACGACCGCAACACTCCCTCTTAAGTGTGTAAATACTCAACAAACCATCACATTAGATCTTCATCAGATAAGGTAGAACAGTTGATGAAGTTGGTGGCACAACGGGCGAATGCAAGTTGCAAACTTAAGAAAGTATGCATTGGTAGTAAAACTCACAAAACCTCGCTATGGTAAAACCCAAGGTGGGAGAAAAACCCATAGGCTAAGGAAAAAAGTGAGAAGTATACATAATGTCTAAAACAAACGTCAAACAAGACGAAAGTAATGAACTCAATGGAGTATGATCATCCCAGAATGGGTGCCTCATCAAACCTCGTTAGGTAGCAAAAACCCAGTAGGAAAAAGAATACATTAAGATTAAGTGAGTATGCTTTATGATACTCCCTCTAAGTTAGACATAACTTCCAAATAAGAGAACTACAAGCAATTCAACTCAGATAATTTACGCATACCGATTCCTTGGACGAGCTTTTGAAAAGTAGACTTGGGCAATAACTTGGTGAAAAGATC